ATGAGTGCTTCATACTCAGCCACATTATTGGATGAGGGGAAATGGAGATGAACCATGAATCTCATGCGTACCCTGAGGGGCGATACGAAGACCAGCCCTGTGCCGGCGCTTTTCTTCATCAGTGACCCATCGAAATACATGATCTAGTACTCTTGATCGATGGCCGCCGGCGGCATTTGGACCTCGGTCCATTCTGCGATGAAGTTAGCCAACACCTAGGACTTGATCGCCGTTCGGGAGGCATACGTAATGCCCTAATCCATCAACTCGAGTGCCCACTTTACGGTTCTTTCTATGGCGTCCTGGCTTTGGGCGACCTCGCCGAGGGGGAACGACGTCACGACCGTCACCAGGTGTGACTTGAAGTAGTGGCGTAGCTTCCCCTTGGTGATGAGGATGGCGTACAGAAGCTTCTAGATTTGGGAGTAGCGGGTCTTAGAGTCGGATAGTACCTCACTGATGAAGTACACAGGGCGCTGAACCTTGAGGGCGTGCCCTCTTCTTCTCGCTCCACTACCAGAGGGCGACCACTTGCGTGGTGGCCGCTATGTATAGCAGAAGGGATTCTCCATCGGTTGGAGGAACCAAGATCGGGGCCTTTGTCAGAAGCAGTTTGACCATGTCAAGCGCCTCCTGGGCCTCAGAGGTCCATTCGAAGCGGTCAGCTTTCTTCAAGAGTCGATAAAGTGGGAGACCTCATTCGTCGAGGTGCGAGATGAATCAGCTGAGTGTGGCGAGGCACCCTGTGACCCACTGGACCCTCTTTATGTTCTGAATCAAGCCCATCCTTGTGATGGATGAGATTTTCTCTGGGTTGGCTTCGATGCCACGCTCGGAGACGATGAAGCCGAGCAGCATACCCCTCAGGACCCCGAAAACACATTTCTCGTGATTGAGTTTGATGCCGTTGGCTCAGAGTTTTGCAAAGGTTTGCTCAAGATCGTCAACGAGGTGGTTGGCCCATTTAGACTTAACCATGATGTCGTCAACGTAGGCCTCAATGGTCCGCCCGATGAGGTCCTCGAAACATTTGAGCATACAGCGCTGGTATGTAGCCCTAGCATTCTTCAGACCGAACGGCATTGAGACGTAGCAGAACGATCCGAAGGGGGTGATGAAAGATGTTGCGAGCTGGTCGGACTCTTTTATCACGATTTGATGGTATCCGAAGTACGCATCTAGGAAGCAGAGAGGTTCGCACCCCGAGGTAGAGTCGACTATTTGGTCTATGCGAGGCAAAGAAAACAGGTCCTTCGGGCATGCTTTGTTGAGACCCGTATAGTCAACACACATCCTCCATTTCCCGATCTTCTTTCGTACAAGGACGGGGTTTGCCAACCACTCTGGATGGTATACTTCTTTGATGAATTCGGCCACCGAGAGCTTTGCTATCTCCTCGCCGATGGCCCTACGTTTCTCCTCGTCGAAGCGGCACAAGCGTTGTTTCACCGGCTTGGAGCCTGGTCGGATCTTCAAGGTATGCTCGGTGACTTCCCTCGGAATGCCTAGCATGTCCGAGGGTTTCCACGCGAAGATGTCTCTATTAGCGCGGAGGAAGCCGACGAGCGCGCCTTCCAATTTAGACAAAAGCGTGGTACCAATGCGCACCGTTTTACCTTCGGCACTCCCGGGGTCTACGAGGACCTCTTTGGAGCCCTCTATAGGCCCGAACGACCCGGTTGACTTCTTAGCGTTGGGCGCTTCTTCGGTGACCTCCTCCATGAGGGCGGTGAGCTCTCTGGAGGCGACGATTGCTACGGCGTAACCGCAGCACTCGACCTAGCACTCATAGGCGCGCTGGAAGGAGGTGCCGACGGTGATGACCCCATGGGGGCCTGGTAGTTTTAGCTTGAGGTATGTATAGTTGGGAACGGCCATGAACTTCACGTAGCATGGACGTCCCAGGATGGCGTGGAAGGTTTTGGGGAATCCAACCACCTCGAAGGTGAGGGTCTCCGTCCTATAATTGAACTGATCCCCAAAGGTAATAGGCAGATCGATCTGCCCAAGTGGCATGGCCTGCTTTCTGGGCACGATGCCGTGGAAAGGCGCTCGGGTTGGGCGAAGCCGTGTCTGGTCGACGCCCATCTCGTCGAGCGTCTTGGCGTACATGATGTTGAGGCCACTGCCTCCATCCATCAGTACTTTGGTGAGCCTCTTCGGGCCGACGATCGGGTCGACCACGAGTGGATATCTCCCCGGATGTGGGACACTCTCTGGATGGTCGGTCCGATCGAATGTTATGGCGGACTCTAACCACCGGAGGAAGGGAGGTGTGGTCGGTTCGGCCGTATAGACCTCACGGAGCGCGACCTTTTGATGGCGTTTGGAGTCATACGTCGCCGATCCTCCGAAGATCATGAGGCAGCCGTCCGGCATTGGAATGCCGTCGTCCCTCTCCTCAGCGTCATCCGTGGTGGCGGCAGGGTCCTTTCTGTGCTCCCCTTTGTTCGAGCCTCCGGACAAGAACCGCTACATGAAGCTATAGTCCTTGAGCAGATGCTTAACTGGAAAGGCATGGTTTGGGCATGGCCCCTCGAGTAATTTTTCAAAGTGGTTTGAAGTGCCCTCCGCGGGCTTCCGACCACCCTTGCGGTCAGCAGTGGCCACGAGCGAGTCCTTGCGCCGTTGCTTCTTGTTCTTCCTTTTGGCGGAACGATTGGAAGCGCCTTCGTCGGCACCCTCGTCCCGCCTCGCCTTGCTGTCGAGATGATCGAAGATCGCTCCGACTGCTTCTTCTCTTGAGGCGTGGCTGGTGGCGATGTCCAGGATTTCCTTGGTGGTTCGTGGGCCCTTGCGTCCCAGCTTATGAACCAAAGACTCGCAGGTAGTCCCGGACAGAAAAGCCCCTATAACGTCGGCGTCGGTGACGTTAGGTAGCTCGTTGCACTACCGGGAGAAGCGCCTAATGCACCCGCGGAGGGTCTCACCGGCCTTCTGTCGGTAGTTTTTGAGGTCCCATGGGTTCCTAGGGCGCTTGTATATGCCCTAGAAGTTCCCCACAAAGATCTCCTTCAGATCCGTCCAACTCTGGATCGCGTTGGACGGTAGGTGTTCCAGCCACGCTCATGCCGAATTGGCTAAGAACAGTGGAAGGTTGCGGATAATGAAGTCATCATTATCCGCGCCACCGGATTAGCAGGCAAGCCGGTAGTCTTCGAGCCATAATCCGGGGTTTGTTTCCCTAGAGTATTTTGGGATATTGGTCGGTGGTCGGTACCTTGGTGGGAAAGCGGCGTTGAGGATGTGACGGTCGAAGGCCTGAGGGCTCGGCAGATCGGGGCTTGGGCTTCGGCCCTTGCCGCTGTCGTAGCGTCCACCACGACAAGGATAATAGCCACGGCGGGCTCCTTCTCTCGGGTCACCGTAGGTACGTCTGCGGGCGTCGAGAGTGCTACGTGCGTCACGGTTACTGCCGAGACGCTGATGCACCGAGACAGCGGTGCGCCGCCTGCCGCCCTGTGGTGCCTGGTGGACCGACGCGTCCCTGCCGGGACACCCAGCGGGCCTACGCTGGCTGGCGTCGAGCTCGTGTCGCCGAGACAACGAGCTTTCTGCCTGTTGTGCTGCCACACGCTCGAGCAGCGTGCAAATCTCATGGTGGGCCTGACGATCCTCGGGCGTCGCGGCCTCTGGAAGGCCATGGAGCAAGGCCGTCGTAGCGGCGATGTTCTGGCTCGCCCGGGCGAAGCTAGGAAGGGCTTCATCGTCGGTGATGATCCTTCGGTTTACATCACGGGCCATGGCGCGTGCGCGCCCACTGTCTCCGCGGCGCTCGATCGGGACCCACCGTCTCCACGGCGCTCGATCTCCCGATCAAACTCCGCGCATTCATGCACAAGCTGGAGTCGTGCTTCCTCGATCTCCCGTTGTCGGGCTCTCAGCTGCTCCACCCCCATGCAAGGTGGGGCCGCTGTCTCCCCTTCGGTTTCATCACCGAGGTTGCTCGCTGGGGTAGCCTCCTTCGCGGGGACGCTTTCGACGTGTCCCTCGGGGGTACATGTCATGAAGCATTCTCGGGAGGGGTGATGGCTCCCCCTGCTGGAGTCAGAGCCAGAGGACGACCCTAGCTCCTCTGTGAGGAGGTTGTGAAGAGATTCCGCGACGTGGTCGATCGCCCCCACGAACTCATTGTTTGTGGGCGGCAGGATCATGCATCGTGCCACAAGGTGGCTAACAGTCGCCGGAGCGTTGCGGAGACCGAATGGAAGTGTTGTCGGGGCGCTATGTATGTGGCATTTCAGAGGGAGGGATCCTCCTCTGAAAAACCACGCCATGTCGTTGGCGTCGGAAAGGGTGAGGCGGCGCTGGTTCTCCCTAGACTGCTGGGGCCCAAGGAAGACACCGAGCTAGCGCTCAAGCCTCTCGTGGTTGAGACCGATGGAGGGGAGAGATTGGATGGCGGCGTGAGCCAATGCCAACTCTCCTCCCACTGTGATGATGAAGTCTAGGCTCCCAAAACGCACGTGTGCGCCTGGGACCTAGCTGATACAGTGGCTAGTCATCCGTGGTCTGATGTTTAACGTCGGAACGCGCAAAGGTTCCCTACCTTGCGCGCCAACTGTCGGTGTTTTGAGTAAATACCAACTAGTAAATTTATATTTGTTACGCGTTTGCCTCGGATGATGTGCTAAAAGATAAAAGTTTTATACTGGTTCGGACAGAATATCTCTACGTCTAGTCTACCGCTGCTCGTGTTATTAGCACTGAAAAAGGTCTGTGACAGAAGCAGATAGTATCATATACCGAGTCGCTAGCTTGTGATAGCCTTGTCAATCTGAAAAGCAACAAACCGATCGAAGGAGGGTTCTTATTATATTGGCGTAGAATCCAGGGAAAGGTGGGGCCATTACAACAAGTAGGCACGCTAGATCCCTCGAAGAAAAAAAAAGGTAGGCACGCTAGATCCATCGGACACGTCGTCGCTAGCGACTAGCCGTAGCAGATGACGAATCACGATTAGGACATCCACACCACACATCGTCCTGTTTGTTCAGACTTCAGAGGAAGCGGTTGAGGTACTCGTCGACGGTGGTGTACTTGACGTCCGGGTACAGCTCGGTGGCGTCCACCCCCTTGGCCGGGTCGATCTCGAAGCCCGTCTGCTCCCCCCGCACGTACGCCGCGTGCCCGATCGACAGGATGATGTTCACCGGGATCGGCGACTCTGCACACGCACACATGGACACCGTTATTCACTGCCATGGATCATCCACGGATCGATGAACTGAACCAGAACCAACCTTGGATCTGCTTGAGCACGGCTTCCTCGGGCACGTACTCCCTCTGGAACGTCTTGCCGGTCTTGTCCTCCCACAGCGACAGCAGCTCGTTGTGCGACAGCGTGTTGGCGGGGGGCTTGATGTACAGCGTCTTGTTCTCCGCGCGCGGGTCGTCGGCGGCAAGCACCGTGTAGGTCCCGATGTCGCCTTCCTCCACGTACACCACCTTGGTGTCGCCGTCGCCGAGCACGACCGCCTTGTCCGTGGGCGGGCCTTGGGCCAGTAGCTGCCCGATGTTGGGGAGCCCGTACCCCCGCGAAGTAGCCCGCCACGACGTACGTGTAGGGGATGCCCGCGGCCTCGGTGGCGCGCCGGATCGCCACCTTGCCGCCGAGGATCGACTTGCCCGGCTCCACGATGCCCGTGCGGTCCACGTCCAGGCCGAACTCCGACGGGAAGAACCTCTGCAAGCGCATATATGCAGTTGCAGACTTGCAGTGCAGCAAGGGGAAGAAAGAACAAGAGCTAGAAGCCTAAAAGCAAGCAGGACACGGCCGGCCGACCTTGACGTTGCCGGCCTCCTTGATGGCGTCGATGAGCCTGGTCTGGTCGGCGATCTGCAGCGACCCGAGCGTGGAGATGACCACGTCGGCGCCCTTCACCGCGCTCACCAGGCTGGCCTGGTCGTACAGATCGCCCTTGAGGAGCGTCACGCCGGCGTCCTGGAAGCTCTTGAGCAGCGCCGCCTTGGCCGGGTCGGCGGGGGCCGTGTCCCTGACGAGCGCGACGGTGGGGTGGCCCAGCCGCGCGCTCGCCGCCACGACGTGCCTGCCCAGGTACCCCGTGCCGCCGACCACCAGGATCTTGCTCTTCACCGACGCCATCTATCCGGCCTGATTGCCAATCAGTTACCGGCAATAATAGTGCAGGATCGATGCAGCTTGTCGATTTGTGGACCTGAGAATTGAGAATCAAACACCACTATATATAGGAAAGGAAGATGCTCCTAGCAGCTGGTTCCATCGATACCGATCGATGCTAGGACGGACTGGTGGCTGTGGTTGCCGGCGTTTGGCCAACAGTGAAATTCGTCAATCTTTTACGGATGACAGGCTCGAGAATGTTCAACGAGTGTGGGTATAGTATCTGAAATTCTAGAAGACATTTGTTTCAAAAAAAAAATCTAGAAGACATGACAAAGACCGGCGGACCCCGTGCCTGCCTGCTTGTGTGCTAGCCGGTACCCCACTACCCGCACAGTGGAAAGTGGGTAGTGTGGTGGTAGGTGAGGATAAAGACTTCATCAAAAATAATTTAGGAACGTAGTACTTTATTATCAAAATAATTTTTGAACGTAATACTTCATCAAAATAATATAATACTCATGGGACCGGAATCTTGCTCGTATACGATCGTGGATTATAAGCTAAAATAATATTTTTTTTCTTACATTAAATTAATCAGCAGTAAATAATCCATAATCGTTTACGACGAAACGAACAGTCTGCCAGCAGGCTGGTGGGTGAGGTGGTTAGAGCTGTACTGCTAGTGCACCCGGACGCGGGCTGTGCTCGTCCGATCCGCTCCGCGATGAACCTGTCTGTGTTCACGTCCTAGTGAATCAGTCGACGTGTCCAGGGTCACGAGGGTACCTGTGATTAACTAGGATCCACTGTCCAGGTTCACGAGGGTACCTGTGATTAACTAGGATCCACTGAGAAAGGTCTGGCGCAACTGATGGGCTCCTGGGTCACTTTCGGCTTTGCTTAGAAGTCAAGTGGTCATCAGGCCCTGCTTGGTTAGATAGGACTATCAGTAGTCCCTGCCATTTTAGTCCCAATTAGTTCTAATTTACTAAATAGATGGACTACTAAAAGTACTAAAGTGGATTTGAGCCGTAGTCCTCTGAGGAGAGGTTTTTTGGCACTACTAAGTTGACACCTCATGCCCCTCAATAATTATGGTCCCCTCAATAGTCCAGAGGAAGAAGAATGGTATTTTAGTCTTTGTTCAACAGTTTTAATGTCTTTTATTTTATTAGTCCCCTCTAGTCCCTATAACCAAGTAGGGTAGGAGACTAAAATTTAATCCCTCTTTTAGTCCCTAGTCGTTGAACTAAACAACCAAACAGGGGCATAAAAAATCACGACCACATGACAGCAATCAGCGTGTGCGGGCCCAGCAAGGACACATGGCACACAACCACAGTTATTTGGACCAGACCGACCGGTAAAAGACCGAACCAAAAAAACCGTTGAACCGCCGGCTTTTTTGAAAAACCGGTGAAAAAACCGTGAATCAGACCGCCAGAGAACCGGCAACAGAAGGAACCATGCCGCAGTGACATGTGGTCCAGGGGAGGGGTGGAGAAAATAGTGAAAAAGGATGTCTAAATGCAGGGAAGGAGATTCGAAACCCCAACTTCAGCTCTGGAAAGGAGAAACTTCACCACTGAGAGCTAGATACATGCTTGTGTTTGTGGTATAGATCACGTACTATTTGAACCATATTGAAACGGTTGAACCAATTGAACTGTGAACCGAGACTTTCGTCAGTTCAATTTCCGGTCCGGTCCTAATAACTATGCACACAGCTAGTGGACATGACATATTAAACAGTACTTCCTCCATCCCAAAATAAGTGTCGTGCCAGTTAAACATTCTTAAGTTTAACTAAATTTATAGAAATTAACAACATTTGTATCTTTAAATAAGTTTATTATGAAAATAAATTCAACGATAATCTAATGATACTAATTATATATTATAAATATTAATATTTCTTGTATATGTTTGGTCAAAGTTAAAAACATTTGACTCCTCGAGAAACGAAAACGACACTTGTTTTGGAACGGGGAGTACTCTTTCCATCCCAGAATAAATTAATTTCTACAAATGTTCTAAGTCAAAAAATTTATGTTTAATTAACTTTGCAGAAAAAGACTAATATTTATAACACAAATTAGTATAGTCACATACAAAATGCAATATATTTTTATACAAAATGCAATATATTTTTATACTCTCTCTCTCCCAAAGTTTTTTTGATAGATTTAGAAAATATACCAAAAATTTGATGATCTTGGTATTGGATATGCACTTTCTCTGCATGCCTTCATGCAACACACTTTAATTGGAAAACTTAATCGTTACATCTCTCATTTTTAGGAAATTTCCTGTAACAAAACAGGAGTACTAGAGTCATTTATCTCCTCTGCTAATTCGTCTAAGAATTCCTTGAACATCAAATTTTTTTTGGACGGAGGGTGTACTATATTTTTTTTAGTGTCATAGATGTTAGCACTCTTTTATATAAAATTGGCTAGACTTAAAAATGACTTAGAACAACTCTAGAAGTTGATTTAATTCGATAGCAGAGGGAGTAGCTGAATAGTAGCACTGTAGCAGAGCCAATTCTAGGGCACATGTGAGTTTGATGGACAATTGGCGTGCAATTATTGGCTATGGCGTCATAAACACTTCAATTAGCGGCGAGTGAGAGTTTTAGAGCAATTTCAACCAAACTCATAACTGAAGGAGAAAATTCCTTATTTGACACGGGGAAAATGAGTCATTCCTTTTTTAGTCCTGAAATTTTTTTTATTCCCTATTTGACACTCACTTCAACTTTCATCCCTAGTATGACACCACGGTCAAATTCATCGACTAACGGTGTTAAGTGGCTGTTAAAAAGACATTTTTGCTCCTAGGCGCATGCAGTCGCTGGCTGCTCTTTTCTTTTTTTCTTAATTTTGCTAGACACCATGCAAGCTGGCCGCTGTTTTTTTTTTTTTTTTTTACTGGTGGCCGGTGTGCAGACGCTGGGATGTCGTTTTTCTCTTTTTTTTCAACATGATACAACAGCATGATTTGTAAGACGTTTATACAACATTTTTTCAACATTTACACAGCATGATAATGACACATGATATAGCAAGTTCATATGAACAAGGGGGTTAATTCTCTTGTGTTACAAATTAGTTTGCCAAAAGCTAAGTAAAACAAAGAATAAATAAAGGGAGAAAAAAGGGGGTTAATTCTCCTATAATCAGTTTGCAGCTAATTGTGCCTTGATCTGTTTCTCTGGGGCAAAATTTCTTCATTGTCTTCTGCCTTTTTCTTGCGGCTGTTGCTGTCGTTTGTGGGGTTACTGCATTCGTTGCTGTTGCTTTGCTGGTGCTGTTCCTGGTAGTGCTCCTGCAAGTGTAAAGCAGAAGGTGAACAACCACTGGCAGTGTGAATTTGACAGCTAAATGGCATTCATTTGCATCATGAGTACTCAAAAGCGCAAAAAGAGCAAAGGAACTCTACTTACATGCCTGCAAGGTGATTACCTTCAACGAGTTGCCTGCGCTTAGCATCTGTAGGCCATCATCGTCTGTAAACAAGCAGCAGACCATTGTTATGTCCTCCAACTTCTCGCGAGTGGAGAGTGATCTAAGGGATTCATTGCTCACCTGCAAAACAAGAGACAAGAAATTGGAGCTCACTTGATTCGCGCACACGAAATAGCATCTATGTTGGCAAGGGAACAATCTCATAAACTATTAAACTAAGAAGAATCTTAATGTTTTTAAGGAAACAGCATCCTACTAGCATTGCCACATTTGCCCCCCATTCTAGTCAGTTTACAGATGATTGAACACTTCTGAATTGCCACAATCATTTTCAATTGAATCCATCAGCGGCAAGGAGCAGATTCAAAAAGCGGCCGTCACCCCACCACACCTTACAGAACGGATGCTAGCAGTAGCTCACGCTCACTGCAAGCTGACGGAGGCACGAAATGGGCCTACGTGAATCACATTACTACATTACAAAAAAAAAACTAGTGCTCAGTGATTGGAACTGAAGAAAAAAAGAAGTACTAAAACTGAAACTACCAACAACCGGATCTCTAATAGGAACATTTATACTGAAAAAACAAAATTACTACTGACAATAAAAAAAACTGAAGAAAAAAAGAAATACTAAAACTGAACCACAGTCCACATACAAAACAAACAAATCCAACTGACCCTATTGTAAATCAAGCTCATGCTTATCCAAAGTAAGAAAAACACAAAGTCCGTGATGCTTGCTAATAAAGTTATGGTATACTAATATATATTTGTCAAGTATAAGAACTAGATAATTCATATAAACTACCTATAAGATTTTCAATTGGCAGGTATGCACCTAACAGTTCGTGGTTCTCAATATCTCTGAATGCATCACTGTCAGAGGTGGTATCAGACTGCATAAACCCAAATGCACATGCCTGAATGCATCAGTCTGGCAGTATAAACCCAATTGTCATTTAGACTAACATTTGGCAGGGATGTATTTGCATTTATACTGCATAAACCCAGTATTTTAACTTATGAGATTTTAGATGTGTATTGCAGTGCTGCTGCTGCAACATGGACACAAGACAAAATATAAAACATGATGCTGCTCCTTCTATTCACTACCTCCGTTGCTTGCTTACAAATCATGCAGGCCTGCAATGTGAAGAGGCGGTCGTCGATCTGGACCTCCTTGGTGACGAAATCCGCGCCGATGGTGGCCTTCTACTGGATGCTGAACTTGTTGTTGATGTAACTGCGCGCACCAAACCAAGAAATCGGTCCCCGATCAGTACTGAAAATTGAATACTGAAATCTATAGACTGAAAATGAAATTGAAATCTGAACCAAAAAAACATGCAAACAATAAATTAAATATTCTGGACTAAAAATTAAAAAAAAATACTGAAATCTGAACCACTGAACATTGAAGGGACAACTGAAACATTGAACCTCAAACTCTAAACTAACATATATTGGAATCTAAAACACAGCAATACAGAAAAAAGGAGTTCACTGGCCTGCTCAACACACGTTATTAGTCTCCAGCATGGATTCCTGAAGCTACTACCTGATATAACCTACCACTAGTTTGAACAAGGCCTTCGGATCTGAAGCTATTGCATGCGATAAAAACAAAAAATCAAGTGGCAGGAGTCAGAGTATTGCTCCATGAAACTCTCCTACAGCATGCGCTACAACTACATTCAGGTAGCGTCCAGCAGCGCAAACACACTCCTCCAATCCTTATGCCCAAAAACTAGCTGGCCACCAAATCAAACTCATCCACCTTCCGTTGGTACACCATTTGACCCGTGCGTCCGCGCAAACACAAAATGTTGACGAACCAAAATGATTAAAATCCAAAATCACCTAGGAGACAGATGACAGCACGCACCTTCAGCTTTAGTAATCGACGGAGACGACGAGAGAAGCACAATCCTTCGCCAACGGTGACGCCAGAGCAGGAAATAACAGAAAGTTCGCATTCCTCTCGCCGGCGTGTTAGCACATGTGTGTTCTTGGTACTTCCTGCTAGTCGATCCATCACGCCGAGGCACTTGTCCATGACGAGCTCCCTGAGCCCCGTGGCAGCGGCGACGGCGGCCATCTCCTTGTCCTCAGCGGCGACGCAGTGGGACAGGCCTCGGCTCGCGCGAAGGCGCGGCTGGCGAGGCGGTAGGACTTGCGGTCACGCGGGTAGCGCACGCTAAAAGCTCCTAATGGGTAATGGATGGGTGAATAGCCTAATAAAATTTTCTACATCAATATTTAGCAAATCGATTAGATAATTATGAGACAAAATAAATATTACGCTAACCTATTAAAAATATAAGCTACCTATCACAATTTTAGTTTATATAGTTTCTATCCACACAATAGCTATATCACTACACTAAGCTAGTATACTCTCAAAAGCTAACTAAAGAGACACACTAACCAAACTAACAAGCTCTCACAACTAGCTACATTAAAGAGCTTGACAACTAATTTACGGTAAATAAAAGAGAGTGAGCAAGAAAGTTATACCACCGTGTAGAAGAAGAAACCAATCAATCACAAAAGTGAATAACAATGAAGACCAATCACCTTCGAATCAAAGGATGAATACAATAATTTTTTACCAAGATTCACTTGCTTGCTGGCAAGCTACTCCTCGTTGTGGCGATTCACCCACTTGGAGATTCACGCGCTAATTAGCATCACACGTCAAACCCTCAATAGGGTGCCGCACAACCAACACAAGATGAGGATCACACAAGCCACGAGCAATCCATTAGAGTACCTTTTGGCTCTCCGCCGGGAAAAGGTCAAGAACCTCTCACAATCACCACGATCGGAGCCGGAGACAATCACCACCCTCCGCTCAATGATCCTCGCTGCTCCAAGTCGTCTAGGTGGCGGCAACCACCAAGAGTAACAAGCGAATTTCACAGCGAAACACGAACACCAAGTGTCTCTAGATGCAAACACTTAAGCAATGCATTTGGATTCTCTCTCAATCTCACAAAGATAATGAATCAATGATGGAGATAAGTGGGAGGGCTTTGGCTAAGCTCACGAGGTTGCTATGTCAATGCAAATGGCCAAGAGAGTGAGCTTGAGCTGGTCATGGGGCTTAAATAGAAGCCCCCACGAAATAGAGCCGTTGTACCCCTTCACTGGGCGCAACGTGGGGTGACGGGACGCTGGCCCTTAGCGTCCGGTCACGTGATACACGCCACGTGTCCCCGGCTTCAAATACAGTTCGTCAGATTTCAACGATCATCTGTTGACCGGACGCGTCAGTTAGAAAGTGACCGGACGCTGGACCTTAGCGTCCGGTCGTTTCCAGTAAGGTTCCAAACGCGATTTTTCCCGACCGGACGCGTCCGGTCATGCCCAACCGGACTCACCAAGCGTCCGATCAGTCAACGTCTCCTCTGTACGCCCTACGTCAACGTACGTCAGCACTGACCGGACACACCCTACCAATGTCCGGTCGCAGAGCGATCCAACGTCCGGTTGTTTGACCGACACTAGCGTCTTCGCTGTTACATCTGACCGGACGCGCCGGTCCAACCGAGGCCAGCGTCCGGTCACACCCAGTGACCACGTCTTTTCTGTCTAGGGCGTCGGTGGAGTTTCTTACCCTTACTCCCAAACTTCACCACCCTTGATCAAATGTGCCAACCACCAAGTGTATCACCTTGTGCACATATGTTAGCATATTTTCACAAACATTTTCAAGGGTGTTAGCACTCCACTAGATCCTAAATGCATATGCAATGAGTTAGGGCATCTAGTGGCACTTTGATAACCGCATTTCGATTCTAAATGTGATCACACTCACTAAGTGTCTTGATCACCAAAATAAAATGGCTCCTATAATTTATACTTTTGTCTTGAGCCTTTTATTTTTCTCTTTCTTCTTTCCAAGTCCGAGCAATTGATCATCACCATGGCTTAGCCATCTCCATGTTATGATCTTCATTTGCTTCACCACTTGGAGTGTGCTACCTATATCATGATCACTTGATAAACTAGGTTAGCACTTAGGGTTTCATCAATTCACCAAAACCAAACTAGAGCTTTCACACGCTTTTGCCGGTAGCGTGCGTAAGCGAATCCAATGACAACAGCGTCCACGCCACGCCAGGCGGCGGCCGGCGGCGGCGGAGGAGCTGCGGGGGTCGTCGTTGCTCATCTCGCGGCAGCGACGACGGTCGAGTCGGTTGTTGTGGGAGCGCGCTTGCCGACCGGCGGGCTTGTGCCCGCAGCCTTCCACGCCCGCCCCGGGGGCTCGCCGCCGCCTCTCAAGCAACCACCCGAGGGGGCTCACCGTCGGGGGCTCGCCGCGCACGCCCCCCCCCCGAGGAGCCAGCGGCCGGATCCACATCCTCCTCCGCCGGATCTCCTTCCATCTTGTCGCCAACGGTCGGCCACCGCCAGGAATCAGCCCGCCGCCGGATTGGTCTAGGGTTCGAGCCTGGGACACTAACGCACGAGAGAGAGGACAGAAGACGCACGGGAGAGATTCGACGGAGGGTAATTTTGACCCCAATAAAAAAATCTAACAGCGTGTCCTAGGGTCTCTAACGGAAGAAGCTCACGGAACCGACGGAAGTGAGTGTCAAATAGGGAACGAAAAAAATTTCAGAGCCAAGAAAGGAACGATTCATTTTACTAGTGTCAAATAAGGAATTTTCTCTAACTGAAGCCCCATCCTATTTCAAGAGACCAAAACATAAAATTTGCTCTCCAACTAAACCCCTATCTGGAGCTCGACGGATGAGAGGCTCTGATTCTCTCGTGAACCCCGAGACGTAGGAGCCCCTCATCCTATCCCCTCCTCGTTTCTCTCTTCCCACAAAGCGGACAAGTGAGGCCGATGAGTAGGGTCCATGACAATCTAACGTAAAGTAAGAAAAAATTAGGAGATCGGTTGAAGTGTTTTGAGAAGTATGAGCTGAAAGATGGATGAGATCATTTAAGAGATAGGGGGCAAAATTTGAGAGCTGGGTTAGAGTTGCTCTTAGTTGTAGCCTGTAGGTCGCTTTAGTTCTGTTCTGCTTTAATTTCAACTGTAGTTATAATATTATATTAGTTTCATTGAGTTCATAATATATTTTTTAATATTCTAGATATTAGAACATATGTTTTCAGTTAAAATTGTTAAAAAAAGTTATAACTTATGATAAGCTAAAATGAATTTGAAATGGCCAAAGTATTAGGTTTTTAATGCTATTTGGAAAACTCTCACCAAATGAAGTTTTCATTGCTGTTGGGCCTCAGTCTCACCTAACGTCGTGTCGGAGGAAAAAGACTTGCTTGCAGTACTAGAAAAAAAAAAGGCAACACGTACATACGGATCTACCTGCAGGTGAGTGGTTGGTGGGTGCATCAGCCACTCAGCCGTCAGTTCCTGCGCTTTACGTAAGGGCCTGTTTGGTTCTGCAGCCCATGACTAAAGTTTTAATTCAGTTTATTCCATGAACTAAAAGTGATGTTTGGTTCCTTGAATTAAAATAGGCTAAAGTCATTAAATGATGTGAAAGAAAGATTATTTTACCTACTCTTTTATTTTGGGAGAGAAAGGACAATAAATGAGAGATATGGGTGTCCCAACACCTTCTAATTCATTTTAGTCCAGTTTTATGGACTAAAGGAAAAATGATTTTAGTCCACTTTTAAACTAAATGTTTGATTGTGCACATTTTAGTCCAAAATACTTTAATCCATAGTAACCAAACACCCCTTACAGTAATCGTGGTAGTAATTTGGTGACGATGAGATGGCCTGCTCGGAAACTCCCACGTCCCACCTTGACGGACTGTGATAGAGCTCAAAAAAAAAAAAGGGGAGGGCCCATCGGAAATAAGTCAATAACCCTGTACATGGTCTGGTTTCAAACCGCTGAACCGGTAAAACCAACCCAGGCGGAACCGTTGCGCGGGCTGTGGCCGGGTTAGGTTAAGTACGGTTCCAAACCGAGCAAACCGTGCTCGATCCTCCCGAGGTCGCGACTCCATGGGCTTGCGCGTGGCGCCGCGAAAAAAACCTACCACGTCGACGACATTGCCGCAGCCGTCGAGCACCCGGCCGGAATACGGACGCGGTGCACGCCGCCATGGCGTTGCAGTATGCTTGGCGTATAGCATTGAGTCCTCGCCCAACTTCAGCCCAGGAACTACGCATCCGTATGTGCCCCTTGCGCGCCTCCGTCGTCTTCCCCCAGTTCCAACAGCATACCGACAACATTGAATCTTGAGGATTGAGCACACCCAAATTGAAATCGGTGACGGGGATGAGCTGGATCTACACCTCAGGTGCGCTGAGCAGGAGCAAGATCCAGAAGCAAAATCTAGAAATTTCAGTAGGATTGTGCTCATCAGGACGACAGAGAAGGAAGCCGGCTAGACAATCTGAGATCTCGCTCGCTTCATACGAGCGGGCTGCAAGGTGCGCAGGCCGCCATTGTCCAGCACGGCCGGATGGCCGGCAGCAAGGCCCCACGTCGGCGTCACACACCTGCGACGACGGCAAGATCCCGCTCCGACGCTGGTGTCGCTGCACACGGACTCTACAGAACCACTTGCTCTCGTAGAGGCAAAGTCAGTGAGGAGGGAGGAGACCTCTTGTTGACTAGCGCAAACCGTGGAACCCGGAACCCGGCATACCCAAACCGCGTATGTTTGACATGAGGCGGGTTGGGTCGGGTTTACCCTCGAAACCGCAAAACCCGGACCATGTACGGGCCGAATCGTTAAGAAGATAAACCGTTCGTTAAGGAGAGCAATCCACTTTTGAGGCAGGTCTAAGCATTTTTCTATATTTTAATAGAAGAGAGAGAAAAACTAGCTCTTAATCAAGAGCTAGCCTCTCGCTCAAATTCTAAGTTCATGTGAGATGTTACGTGGGTTTAATCATACTTAGAGTCATTGCTAAAAGTTAACATTTTTAAGTAGAAATGATATACAACACACATGTGTTTTAGCGCAAAAAACACATGGACTTTTTAGGAAAAAAAAACACACGGCGAGCGCACGCGGTAGCACAGCACCAACGCAGTGCGCTTTCTGCGCCTCGACTGTCCTGAGCGACTTCTGCGCCTCGACTGCCTCCTTCGCGCATGGAGAATTGCGCCCGGCCAGGGGCTCCACGACGCGACGACCCATGACGAATGGGTAGGCAATGGAACCAACCGCTCTATAATTTATTCTTCCATAGAAAAAAAATTATTTTATGTGATCTGTGATTTGTGATATATGGATCTGTAATCTTGTGATTGTCTGAAGGTAGAAGAAGGCTAGATATAGAAGAAAATAGAGGTTGTTGAATTTTAATCTTATAGTAAAAAAAAATTCATATGTTAGAATTATATAAAACACATGGTTATGCAGTATAGAGACTCTCTCGAAGACGTTGGCTTAGGCCTACCGTTGCGAGTGCTCTAGTACTACTCCGTACTTGAGTGGTGTGGCCTGCCTCTGCACCGACGGCCTGCTGGTCGCCCCTGACGCAGACGAAGTGCGCGGCGGACAGCGGTATGTCCTTGTAGTCGTATAGAGGTGATAGTGGATTTAGATCATAAAAGAAATGAATTAGGATATTTTTTTTTCACGAACGTGTGACATGTATTTCATTGAGACGAAACAAAATAAGTTTACAACAAGGTACGGTAATCAACAGTTGCCGAAACCTTGCTTGCCCAGCAGTTTAGCCTATGCTAAAATTTGGCTTATGTTGATATTTATGCTAAAATATTATGAGAGAAAAATACTGTTCCATAACTGAAAAGTAGCTTAAGCAAACAGGGCACGCTCAGCTGAATGGGTGGCGTCCCAAGCACTGCAACTCCTAAGGCCTCGATTAGCGACTGAATATGCTTGTAACCTGCACGCACCCAAATATTTGCTTCCTTTATAATTTTGTGCGGCAGCTGCCCAGAAGTGGAAGTCCGCCTTCCAAACGTTCTGTTATTTCGTTCCTTCGATAACATCCACCCAACCAGCAGGAACAAAGCTGTCAAATCCTCTTTGCAATCCTTTCGGGATCAACTTCCTTGAGAGCAGCCACCACTCCAGGCAACCAACATCCCAGACGCTGACAACCCCATCTCTAGGAGTAGCAGTCCGATCACTGTCACCCAAACCTCCTTACTGAACACGCAAGCCAACAAGAAGTGGTCCAGTGTTTCGGATTGCTGATCACAGAATATGCAGTTGCCGCAGTTTTGCAGACCATGCCGATGGCTTCTATCTGGTGTCCAGCATCGCCCATACAACACTAGCCAGAAAAATGTATTTCACCCTCGGCGGAGCACTCGTCTTCCACGACAGCACCGATAAACGTCGCCCCATAAGCCGAGGTAGCCGAGTACAGCTGATCTGATGAACTCCACCTCCAGCAAAGCCTGTCAGGAGTTCCAGGTTGCATGCAGCTCAATGGCCGCGGTCATCTCCCATACAAGAATGTAATCGAGCAGCACCTGAATTGTCAGTCAAGGCGCCGTTGATGTCGGACACCCAAAACCCTTCCTGACAAAGCTGACGCGACCGTTCGCCTGTGTTGATCACCGCGAATAGAGCTGGCGCTAACTGCTGAATGGACCTTCCCTGCAACCATCTATCAGTCCAGAAGAAGGTAAGGCTGCCATCACCAGCAACCGATTCAGTAGCGGCCTGGAACATGGCCTGAACAGCTTTCTCCAAGGAGGACGGCAGGTCACACCACGTTCTACGCGAGTCAGTGCGCCGGAGCCATTCCCAACGCACTCTGAAGGCAACGCCTGGTCTCCGAAGATCGAGCACGCCAACTCCACCGAGCTCCTTAGACCTGCAGCTGCAGACGACTTCCCAGGCAACCGGCACTGACCGTCATTCACCGAATCCAATCCAGACCAGATGAACGCCCGTCGCCTCTTATCAATAGCTTCTATAGCCCAAGCCGAAAGGCAAACCACGATAGATAGGTGTACGGTGTACCGAGATTGCAGACAACGTCCATCTGGCGAGCGTCGTTCTCCTAGCCAAATTTTAAGAAGGTTCCCTTTCCATCCCGAAATCCTTCTGGCCACGACATCAATAAGGAACTGTTCGTCGCTACCTCTTACCTTGTAAGGCCTTGTTTGGAATGGAGGAAGTTTATAATAAAGGAATTTCAAAGGAATGCCCAACCATTGTTTTGCTGACGTCACTATGCGTTTGGTTGGGAGGAATCGGCAAAGAACTTTCCATAGGAACAGTGGAGAAGCACGTACTTTTGCAGGAAACAAAAAATGAGCTCCGAGTCGATGGAAAGCTTTCCTGTGGCTACTGCAGCTTCGCTCGCTCTCTGAACATGTTTATATTGCTAATCTTGCTTAAACAGCGAGGCAACATTCAGCTTCCTGTTTGAGCCCCATGGCACACAAAAGAAAAGTTCTGTACGCTTGGTTAGGTATAGCTCTCTCTCTCTAGTTTATATACTAATACTAAAAATGATGTTCTTAAGGATTTGATTAGTACAAAAAAGTTAATATTGCAATAAAGTTTGAAAGTTTACTATGCGCTTTTCATTCCTGCATTCCAAACACCTATCTTCAAAAATTCCAATGTTTTTTATTCCTCTGTTTTACGACTACATTCATTTTCTATATCTGTGTTTTCTCTCGTTCTTGTGTTTTCTATTCCTTTGTTCCAAATAGGAACTAAATGACCGCCAAGTCTTGATCGGAACAATGAATGCGTGGAGCCTCGCTACATTTTTTAACATCGAGTTGGTTCACGCTAACTTCAGCTAGCGTGTGATATTAACATTCCTAGCTATCCTGGGTTTGGGTATTGTGAGCCCCACTAATAATGGGCCTTGGGCCGGTCTGATGGTGGGCTGGGCCGAATGGCCGACCGCAGCGACATGGTGATGAAAGCATGGACGTGTAGTCTAGTCCCGAACCTGGAGGGGCCAAACCAACTTAAAACTCTGGGTCCTGGGAAGGTAATGAACTCCGGTTCGAATCTTTTGCGCAAAGTGATGATGAAAGCACAAGAGAGTTAATTAGTAGGTGTGGTTCATTCAACGTGTAGAGTGGATTTTATGGGGCGTTACAAATTGTATCAGAGCCAATTCTCGCGGTATTCACGAATACTGGGAATTTGCTCGGGAGCCCGGACAGGTCGCGCTTGGCACTTGGGCCGAGGAGCTGAGAACATGGACGTGGGACAAGAGAGTCGATCCTGGACATTTGTCTCATTTGGGTAGGTTGGTTCGGCCATCGACGACGTCGGGTCCTCAAGAGAGTGGGTGTACGTGAGACCCCACTAATAATGGGCCTTGGGCCGGTTTGATGGTGGGCTGGGCCGAATGACCGCGGTAGCGACATGGTGATGCGAGGCACTGTAGCCAGGGTTTCCAGGTTACTGTAGCACGCGGGTCGCTGTAGCTGCGCGAGTTTAGTCACGCGTCGGAACCTGGAGGTGGGCCAAACCAACTTAAAACTCTGGGTCCTTGGAAGCTAATGAACTCCGGTTCGAACCTTTTGCGCGAAGTAAGGACGAAAGCGCAAGAGTTAGTCCATTCAACGTGTAGAGTGGATCTTAGCCGTCTCCCCGGGGCGTTACAGGTATTCAATAAATAGGTCCGCAGCAGGAGCCACATTTTTTAACACTGTGTGCTTGGCCAGTGTGACAATGAAATCCAAATGGATGTTTTCATACATACGTGCAGCCGGCCACTGTTATGTTACCGGAAATTTGAATAAGCAAATGAATGGAGCTTAGTGTACACCCTATGTCCCCTGAGTCCCAGACCGTCTTCCTCCTGGTTGCGCGTGGTTACAGTGAGGATCTTGTTTGCATTTGCAAAGCAGAAAGTGACGAGGTTGGGTTTCAAAATGTCATCTCTTTCCAATTGGTAATTGGTGCGCACTCGATGGAGACCCTGCGGGTCAAGTTCAGAGCAGCCTGTTGAGGTAATATCGACAGTGGTGTACTTCACGTCCGGGTACAGCTCGCCGGCGTCCACCCCCGACGATGGGTCGATCTTGAACTTATGTTCCCCCTTGATGTACACCGCATGCACAATTGACAGTAGGATGTCCAGCGGGACCGGAAGTTCTGCAGAATTGTTAACCCCATGGTTATCAATCATATCAGTTCAGTTCAAAGTTAGAACCAAGTCTGCTGTAGAAAACCGTACGTTGGGTTGGGACATAGACTGAGTGATCGTTGTCCACCTATTTAGATAGATGTTTGAGGATTTATCAATAGGACATATATAGACGTGATTGACATGTTCTAATTAGAATATAGAATAAATGTCTCGTAAATGTGTGAAATTGTGAAAGTATTTTTCAAAAATAGATTTACACGTATGCTTTTAATGCTTACAAAACCGATCAATTTTAAAAGCTATCGATCGACAAAGTCCATAAGTTAATTAAAATACTCCCTGTTCTCTAAATTATAAATAGTTTTAATTTCGTTCTAAGTTAAGTTTCTCTAGATTTGATCAAGTTCTCATAAAAAATACACAAAGGTGTACAACATTTTCTTTTTGACATAAACGGGAGGGAGGAGCACTTCCCCACCAAATTCATTGATTAGGAACAACAAATGACTGTTGCTTGGTTACATGGCGAGAAGACCGGCAAGACATTGGGTTACAACATTAAACATGATTGATTAATTAAATATATTATGATAGTGTATTTATTTTAATATTATAAAATTTAGTTTTTTGTATGAACTTAGTTAAAGTAAACGAAATTTGACGTTGTATAAACTTAAATGATCTATGGTTTGAAAGAGAGAGAATATGATTTATTAAGGTAAAATATATTTTGCAACCTCCAACTTATATGATGTCCGATTTTTCAACCTTGAACTAAGAAACCGTGTAATGGACGGCCTCCAACGGTTAAAACCAAAAATTTTTGGTCCTTTTATTAGTTTTATAAAGATGTGGTTTTCTATTTTCTAATAATAATAAAAATCTGATTTACTATTCCAAAATTCATAAATGCTTTTTAAATAAGAAAATATAAAATAAGTACTATTTTTTATAAAAAAAATATTATCTACATGTTTATGATCTATATATAGTTATTTGGAACTGATTTATTTCTGTTTCTATTGTTTTATTGCTCGTACTCATGTTTATTATTTATTTAAAACAAGTAAGATATAAATAACTCTAAATAGAGCACCTATAGATATCTAACATTTTTATAATAAAACTTATACTACTTTCATATTTTTCTGATTTGAAATAAATTAATTATAAATTTTTAGAAATAAACAAGAATGTTATTATTTTTTTAAAAATACAAAAACCACTTTTGAAACCAACCATGGAACCAAATTTGTTTGGTTTTAGCAGTTAGAGGATGGATGTTACTCGGTTTCGTACTTTGAAGTTGAAAATCCAACTTGGAGGTTAAAAATGTACATATCGAATTTATTGATCAAACAAAGGTGTCAGAGTCCGAGTGTCTCACCTTGGATCTGCTTGAGGATGGCGTCCTCGGTGAGATACACCCGCTCGAACGTCTTGCCGGTCTTCTTCTCCCAGAGCGCCAGTAGCTCGTTGTGCGACAGAGTGTTGGCCAGCGGCTTGACGTACAGCGTCCTGTTCTCCGCGCGCGGGTCGTCGACCGCCAGCACCGTGCAGGTTCCGATGTCCCCCTCGTCGACGAACGACACTTCGGTGTCGCCGTCGCTGAGGATGACGGCCTTGTCGTCGGGTGGTGCTTGGGCCAGCACCTGCCCGATGCCGGGCAGCCCGTAGCCGAAGAAGTAGCCCGTCCACACGTACGTGTAGGGGAAGCCCGCGGCATCATTAAAGGGATAGCTCCAGAAGGTGACGTTCTTGCAAAAATGCTCTAGAAAGGGGCTGAGAAAGGTATCATTAAAAGGATACCTGAAAATTTTAGGGTAGGCGGTATTGTGTCTCTACAGTATGCAGATGACACCATTCTTTTTTCTAGAATTGAGGAGGAATACACTAGGAACCTAAAAAGTATCCTCATCTATTTTGAACAGTTGTCTGGTATGAGGATCAATTTTCATAAAAGTGAGTTAATTCCGATGAATGTTGAACCTGAAGCAGTTTATAATCTGGCTCATTTGTTCTCCTGTCCGGTTGGTACCTTACCTATCAAATATTTAGGGATCCCTTTGCATTATGAGAAGCTTAGTAGGGAGGACATTCAACCTCTTGTTGATAAAATGTTGAAGAAAATGGTAGGTTGGAGAGGTAGGTTGTTGTCCTATGCAGGGAAACTAGTTCTTATTAAATCTTGTTTAACTAGTATTCCTGTATACTTACCCTCGTTTATTAAATTTCCTAAGTGGGCCATTAGAGTTATACACTCTCATCTTGGTAATTACTTATGGGATGATAGCCCCACTGAAAGCATCTAGGCCCCTAGTTGGGTTTCGGTGATTAATGACAATACGTGATTACTGTGACTAACGTGTGTTTTGCAGAGACAATTAAGTTAGATCACGGTAATGGAGATCGATTGGGCAATCATGGTGGTCATGCCACTACGATGAAAATCGTTTCGGTTTTCAAAGGATGGACGACAAGGTTAAGGATGGACTAGTTCTAAGTATCGATTGGAGTTAAAGAGACACTTAGAGTAGTTTAGGACTTTGTTTTTCCTTTGACCGTACTATTAAGGGGGGGTATGGACGGGTAGCTTGACCTAGGTGAGTCTAGTGAGTTAGGTGTGGTGCATACTTGTTAAAACTAGCACTAGGTAGCTCCAAAATAGCCCTTAGATCCAATGGAGTAAACTTCATTCACGTATGATCGAGAGTTGGAAGTGAATGGAGTGTCAAATACTGACCGGACGCTGGTTCCGGGTTGATCGGACGCTGGCGCAGAGTCCGGTCAGTTCATTTGACCAAGGTGAAATCGTCTGGCGCGACCGGACGCTGAGAGGTGAAGTGATCGGACGCTGAGAGCCAGCGTCCGGTCGACTCCAATAAGGTTCCAGAGAGGGAAAATCTCGACCGGACGCGTCCGGCCAGTGCTGACCGGACGCTGGCCAGCATCCGGTCACACTTTAAACACTGGAGTTTGTGGTGTACTGACCGGAGCATCCGGTCACCCCGTAGAGGCACATAAAGATTCATTTTTCAGCCGGTGTTATAAATATAACCTCCACTCGTGTGTGGGGGTACTTTTGCTAATTCCAACAGCTAAGAAATACCTTAGAGAGTGCCAAGAAGAGTAAGGTCCTAGTGAGATGATTGAGATTTGAGAATACCAAAGAGAGCCCTCATTAGTGAGATCAAGAGTAGCAAAGTGTGCATCCACCCTTCTCATTAGGCTTGTCGTGGTCAAGTGAGAGTTCGTACTTGTTACTCTTAGTGATCGCCATCACCTAGACGACTTAGTGGTGATTGGGAGGTTGGTGATCATCCGGAGAGCTTGTGGATGACCCAACTCAAGTTGTGAGTGGTTGTGGATGATTCACCGCGACGGAGTGTCGAAGAATCAACCCGTAGAGAGCACTTGATCCTTGCGCAGATCAAGGGGGAGCTACACCCTTGCGCGGGTGCTCCAACGAGGACTAGTGGGGAGTGACGACTCTCCGATACCTCAGCAAAACATCGCCACGTTCCTCCTTCTCTATTTATTTTGAGCATTTACTTTGAGCAATTCAATTCTTGTATTTATATTCCTATAATTGCCATGCTAGAGTAGGATTGGAACATAGGTTGCAAGTCTTTTGTGCGGTAGAACAACTAGAAACACTTTCTATGCACAAGGGGTTAATTGGGCTAACCGTAGGATTTAATTATTGCAAAAAATTTAGAATTAGCCCAATTCACCCCTCCTCTTGGGCATCTTGATCCTTTCAATTGGTATCGGAGCCTCATGCTCACGTATTTAGGCTTAACCGCCTAGTGAAAGATGTCTCATAGGGATGGACCTCCTCCTATCTTTGAGGGGGATGATTTTTCATATTGGAAAATCCGCATGGAGGCGTATCTAGAAGCTCTAGATGTTGGAATACTTAGAGCCACCTCACAAGGTTTCCCAAAACCTCGGGATGCCGCACACCCACAAGGCGATGAGTTGAATTACGAAAAATGGAATGCAAAGGCTAGAAACACTATATTTAGAGGCCTTTGTAAAGATGTGTTCAACCGGGTGAGAAACCAAAAAGACGCCCATGCACTATGGTCGGACGTTTGTGCGCTCCATGAGGGAATAAAGAGTGAGCGTGAGGAACGCTATCATCTTGTCATGAAAAAGCTTAACTCTTTTGAAATGCTTCCTAAAGAATATGCTAATGAAATGTATTCACATTTGAATATTCTTGTAGAGGAAGTCAATGGGCTTGGACTCACTCAAATGCAACCATCCGATGTTGTAAGAAAGATTTTGAGTGTCATCCCCATTGATAAATATGGGCATATTGTGACCGTGCTACATCAAGGTGATCTTTTTACCGCTACACCGACACAAATCTTGGGAAAGATCAATGCTCATGAGATGTACATGCACATCACACCTCAAGATGGCTCATCCTCTACAAAGAAGAAAGAAAAAGATTTAGCATTCAAAGCTAGCCAAGAAAAGGGCAAAGCAAGGCTTGAGTATGAGAGCTCAAATGATGATGAATTTGATGATGCAAGCCTTGTTCTCATGGTGAAGAAAATCGCCAAAATGCTAAAGAAGCTCAATAAGAGTGGCATCAAGTTCGATGGCAAGAAGAAGAAGTTCTTCACAAGCTCTAGAAGGAAGCCAATCTCCGAGATGGATTGCTACAATTGTGGAGAACTTGGTCATCTAGCTCACCAATACACAAAGTCCAAGAAAGACAAGTTCAAGAACAAGAATAAGGGCAAGAAAGATGACTCAAGTGATGAAGATGAGAAGAAAGACAAGCCATACAAGAAGAGAGATGGCAAGAAGAAGGACTTCCACAAGAAAAAGAAGAGTGGAAAGGCATACATCGTCGGTGATTGGCTCACGGACATTGATTCATCTAGTGGATCGTCCGATGATGATAGTGACAACGAGAAGGTGGCCGCCATTGTTATTGAATCATCATCTTCACCACCACCACCACCACCATCCTCTACACACCTATGCCTTATGGCCAAGGGTGAATGTAAGGTATCAAATGATGATAATAGTAGTGGTGATAAACATGCTAGTAATGATGATAGCGATAGTGATGATGATGAATATGAGTCACCTACTTATGATGATCTTGCTAGATTGCTAAAACAATACACTAAGATTATTATAAAGACTAGAGCTAAGAATGAAAAGCTAGAGGCTAAAAATGATGCACTTTTAGCAAAATGTGATATAGCGGAAAAGGCCAGTGTTGAGCTTAGAGAAGCAAATGATGCTATGTCATCCAAACTCAAAGAGCTCAAATCTTCTAAGAAAGAGCTTAAAGACAAACATGATAAACTTGAGTGGGTGCACAAAGAGCTCATCACTAGCCATAACAAGCTAAAAGAATAATATACTACTCTTAAGATTAATCATGATAGACTTGTCGTTGCTCAAGAATTTTTACCCAATGAGCCACATGATGCTACTAACCATGTTGTTAAGATTGATATAGCTACATCATGTGATGATTTAATTGATGAGAGCATTGAGCAAGGATCTAGTGGCAAAGGCAAGCAAGTGGTTGAGTGCAATGATTATGATGAGTATATCAAGCTCAAGCAAGAGAATGAAAAGCTTAAAAAAAAGTTTAAAGTGTTCAAAACCCACAACACCATTGTGCTAGAAACCCTTGATCATGATGATGATTTGGTCCTTGAGAATGAGAAGCTAAAAGAAGAAAACAAAAGACTCAAGGAAGAGAAAAATGATGATGCACTCAAGGAAGAAAACAAGAAGCTCAAGTTGGAAAAAGAGCATCTCAAGATTGGATTGAGCAAGTTCACTAGAGGCAAGCATCTTCAAAGTGAGCTTGTTATGAACACCGTCATGAAGATGGATAGAAGTGGCATTGGGTACGTGGCAAATCAAGAGAAGAAGAAGGCTCAAGCTCAACAACAACAATCAAAGCCAAAGCCAAAGGGATGTTTTGAGTGTGGACAAGAAGGCCACTTTACTCATGAGTGCCAAACTCCACCACCACAACCCTTGCTCAAGCATGCTAGACCCTTTGCCTTCAATGCTCATTATATGCTTAGAAAGGATTCTAGTGGAAAGATGAAAGTGATGTTCTTAGGACCTTCCAATAAGAATAGGCCTAAGAAAATTTGGGTTGCAAAGTCACTTATTGAGAAGGTTAAGGGCCCTCAACAAGTTTGGGTTCCTAAAACTTGATCTCTTGTGTGTAGGTGAACTACAAGATCGGTGGAAGTCATTAGGTTATTGATAGTGGTTACACACAACATATGACCGGTGATCCTCGTATGTTCACCTCACTAGATGAAGAAGTAGATGGACAAGAAAGAATCACATTTGGAGATAACTCAAAGGGTAAGGTTAAAGGATTAGGCAAAGTGGAAATATCAAATGACCATTCTATCTCAAATGTGCTATATGTTGTTTCATTGAGCTTCAAGTTACTATCCATTAGATAATTGTGTGATCTTGGCTTCCAATGCTTATTTACCAAGAAGGAAGTTGTTGTATCTAAGAAGGATGATAAACAAGTGATATTCAAAGGATTTAGATGCAACAACCTATATCTAGTGGACTTTACCTCCGAAGATGCAAATTTGAAGACTTGCCTATTCACCAAAACAACACTTGGGTGGTTATGGCATAGAAGACTTGTTTATGTTGGGATGAGCTCACTCAAGAAGCTAATGAAGAATGATTTGGTGAGAGAGTTGAAGGATGTAAAGTTTGAGAAGGACAAGCTTTGTAGTGCATGTCAAGCCGGCAAGCAAGTTGTAAATACTCATCTAACCAAAGCTTTCATGTCAACCACAAGAGTGCTAGAACTCCTTCAAATGAATTTATTTGGACCAA